AGCGCCATTTTATGTTATCACAAAAGATTTGGTTAATTCTATATCTTTATGAAACATTGTAATTTAAATATTCGCTCTTTCATTGAGTATTTGTAACGTTAAATATTATTCTTGGTAATATGTTTACTATGAAGGCTTAAATTTTTGCAACTTGCAAACAAATTTCTTTAAAAGCAGTTGCGTTCTGAACGCTTCAGATTTTGAGGTTAGTATCCAAATAATATTTCTATTTGTTTATATGTTTTTAAGTTATATCATTGTTAAATGTACGTTAGTGTTACAACTGTATTATAATATACATTTTAGTGAGAAATAAAAATTAATTTACGTATCATATTTTTTAAACTAATTATGTAAACTAGTATATTTAGTATAAATTTATTTTAGTGAAAAAAATATAAGAAAAAAATGGCGTTACATAGTGTACCGCCAAAAAGAAAAGAAATTTATAAATATGAGGCACCTTGGCCTCTATATAGCATCAATTGGTCTGTTAGACCTGATAAGAGGTTTCGTTTAGCTCTTGGTAGTTTTGTGGAAGAATATAATAATAAAGTACAAATCGTTTCACTTGATGAAGAGACTTCTGAATTTAGTGCCAAAAGTACTTTTGATCACCCTTATCCAACTACAAAAATTATGTGGATTCCAGATAGTAAAGGTATTTCTTTATTTTCATATTGTTATCATAAAATCTAATTAAAAATTATATCATTTTTTATCTTTATTTACATATTCCATTAAAATTTTATAGGATTGTTTCCTGATCTCTTAGCTACATCTGGAGATTACCTAAGGGTTTGGCGAGCAGCTGAGCCAGAAACTCGTTTAGAGTGTGTTTTAAATAATAATAAAAATTCAGATTTCTGTGCCCCTCTTACATCTTTTGATTGGAATGAAGTAGATCCAAATTTAATTGGGACTTCTAGCATAGACACAACATGTACTATTTGGGGATTAGAAACAGGGCAGGTCTTAGGTAGAGTTAACATGGTCACTGGCCATGTTAAAACACAATTAATTGCTCATGATAAAGAGGTATATGATATAGCATTTAGTCGCGCTGGCGGTGGTCGCGATATGTTTGCGTCTGTTGGCGCCGACGGTTCTGTAAGAATGTTTGATTTACGGCATTTAGAACATTCGACAATAATCTACGAAGATCCACAACATACGCCGCTGTTGAGACTTGCATGGAATAAGCAAGATCCTAATTATCTTGCAACAGTTGCGATGGACGCGTGCGAAGTAATAATTTTAGACGTTCGTGTTCCATGTACACCAGTTGCGAGACTTAATAATCATAGGTATATAACGTGTTCATTTATTTGAACTTAATTATTTTATATGTTTTATGTTGAATTTTTATTTTGTTATCTTGTTTTAGAGCAAGCGTTAATGGTATTGCTTGGGCACCACATTCATCTTGTCACATTTGTACGGCGGGAGACGATCATCAAGCACTGATTTGGGATATTCAACAAATGCCAAGAGCGATAGAGGACCCAATTCTTGCTTATACAGCTGCTGAAGGAGAGGTGAATCAAATTCAGTGGGGTGCTACACAACCTGACTGGATTGCAATTTGCTACAACAAAGCGGCAGAAATTCTCAGGGTGTAAAGAAAGTACTTCTCATTAGATTTATGCCAGTCTACTTGTAACAAAGTTATTTTTTTTTTACAAATCACCTATTTAAATTTATTGAATCGTGTGTTTGATTTCAGTATTTGTACAGACTTTTGCCCCTGCCATAAGTTTTTTTTAAATAATTTTTGTACCTATAACACAAGCATGTACAAATACTGGCTATTTTTTAACATATCGAGAGTTCGATAGGGGAAATTTCTGAAGTGATGAACTGATACTTTATAATTGGCTCCATTAATTCTACGAATTCAAATTACTGGTATAAATAAGACTGTACTGATATAAAAATATCAAGTATGTGTACATTTTAATTTAATGCTAATGCAATGCGTTATCATCGTGCCACTGGTATTTTATGTATTTAAGATCCTCAGGTTTGTCAAACAATTGTCGTGTGATGGAGTGAAATCGTACACATCTAAAAGAGCTCATTAAATAATTAAAAGTTAAGTAGTAGTATAAAACTTGGTACGATATATAGACACCGATGAACCACATGTATATTTATAATGATGTATATGACCGTAATTGATGTATCTTATTTTGTGACGACATATACATGATAATGTTTTAGAAATAACGAATCGATCGATCTAGAGATCTTAAAATACTCTATAAATATTTCGGCAACCATTTTTCATGAAATGAAACAAAATAATATATGTCTATTACGTTATACAATTGTATATATGTTTATACTTACATATTCACTTGATTTTGTAGAAGAAAGTAGGATATAACGATGATAGATTTTTCATATATCAATTTGATTATATTAGTAGTATGATGCGTTTAAAAATATATGCAGAAATCATTATCATATTAATATGCATCATGTATTTATACTTAATGAAAGAAGATTTTATAAGTTCTTTTATTAAAACAGAAAAGGTTTATAGCGGTAGTGTTCGTGATATTAGTATTAGTAATGAAATAACTTGGGCGACAAAGTGATTACTTACGAATTCTCCAAATTATAATTCGTAGTAGACTTTTTTAATATGTTAACTATTTAAGATGATAATTTAAATCGATTAATGATAGATACGTTAATTAAGAATTACACTTTCCGCACCCTGAATAACGTGATAGGATTTATAATTAATACAGTTTAAGTTTTAGAAAAGCACGATTTATATTGGTACTCAAGTATTTTATAATTTACAACTATATAATGAGCGAGATGCATTATTTACAATAATGAAATGTGTATGGGAAACAAAATAGTAGCCAATTAATACAATTAATTTTCCATGATAATCTCCTGTTCGTTTTCCATCAAATATCCGATAACTTCACACAGATATAAGATTAGACTATTATAATGCTATCGCTACTTTAATAAATATCATTAACTCTGATACAGAGCAAGCTTTTCACTACCTATTTATTTAACATAGTCAATGATCTTGCGTTCTTACTTTTCCAATATCTCAATTTAATATCAACGATTAAAAGGCATTTACACATTTGGCTACGACGAATAAATTTCTTTAAAGCACTATTCCTATCAATAATTTACATTAAACTTTGGCAAGACTTGTTTTTTTATCTTGTTGTCTTACAAAGAACAATCCTTCAAATTTTGTATATATAATCGCTTAAAAAGTAAAGGCTAAGGACATGCATTTTACTTCACTGTAAATTGTATATTTTACTAGATTCATGATTCATTCATTCCTTGGATCAAGTTATTCTTTTACATCTTAGCCAAAGGCACACGCACGATCCACAAACACGCATATTGCACTTTTCTAGAAAAGAAAAGAAACAAAAAAAGAACAAAAGAAATGGGTGATTAACGATAAAAGGTTTAACAATTTCACGGGTAAACGTAAACGATACGACTTTACGTTTACTGTCGTTCGTTACATTTTTATTATAATTAATGCATCGCGTTAATAATAAGTTAACAGGTCATGTTCTTCGTTTTACTTTCTTAAATGCTTTAAAACATTAACATGGATAATTGTACTGAATACTCGTTCTATAGAGGCATAGATCAAGCTCAGTTTTTTTTTTCTCATTCATTCAGAGCATAATGTGGAGGATACGAAATGTATTTTAGAGTACTCAATTCGTTGCTTTACGGCCTCGTTTACAACTTACTCCTTTCTCCTCCTTTCTAAGATTGCATCAGAGATACCTCCGTTAAATATCGCCTGTGCTCAGAAGCAAACACTAAACGACTTTAAAATCTGCATTAGCGTTTCTTTTGCTATCATATTCGTGGAACTTCAGCCTCTCTACATAGAGAATTCTGAATACACGTATATTCAATGAAACTCACGTTAGAGAATTGACAACGTTCTTAAAGAACGCACAATTTGCTAGCTATATAATGAAGATGTAACACTGTACATCCCATGGTCAGCATGTTTCCCATTGCTATGTAAACATGGACACGTCTGAAAGCTTGATGAATCTTTAAATAGTGAGGGCAGTGTTTCAGTGGACCAGGATTGTGAACACCAATCTCGTTGCCGACACCAGCAGCACGTTCTAGGGTGTTCTTCTGCACTATTAGTTGTAGGAGAGGTGGGGTTAGATAAAGTCTTATCAGTAGCTCCAGGAAAAAGGCACTGGACATACCACCCACCTGAAAATATATACTTTTGTTACACATTAAAATGAAAAGAGACAAATAAAATTAATATAATTAAAGTAGAGCAGCAAAGAAACTGCACACATATATATACACATCTGTTTTTATATCATTCAAGAATAGGATATTCATAAACTTGTTTCATGCTGATGAATAATTGAAATTGGAATTGATCATTTTACATACCTGAATGGATATTTCAGTGTCCCAGGTGTGTACAGGATGATGTTTGACGAAAATTAGAAGTGTGATAAGGCTGAGACACGCGTTGATAGTGAAGTATCTGGGGAATAAGACGCGTTGCACCTCTCCAAACGTATGCCTTGGCAATGCAAAGTATAAGGAAAGACCTGTGTCAGAAAAAAAAAAAATATAATATTTCAATCTATGATAACTTCTATAATGATCTTTTTACTTAATCGATTTCGCCACTTACCAGATACAAAAGTCATCCAAATTTGGGCACCAAGATGCATCACGAAGGAAGCAAGGTAAATGAAAGACGTTGCTCTCGATTGTGGATGTCCAACGTGCATTCTGTCTGTGGTTGGTACGAGGGCCGATGTCACGCACAAAACTGCTGCTATCATAATTACATGAGCCGGTTGTGTCGTGTGAAACAGGATTCTGCAACATGAAAATAGATCTTTGTTAAATCTTTTGTTCGTAAAATTTATTATTAAATTTTCTTTATTATTCATTTATTATAAGTTTATTATTAAATACGTCAGGTACCTCCAAAATAGTAATATTACACTTTGTGATTTTTTAAAGCAATTGTGGTGAATTTTTTAAATCTGTTTTTCATTTTACAATTTCACGAAGTTAAATGTATCAAAGAAAGCCACCGGATAATTACATTTTTTTTTTTAAACTGTCGTTCTAAGTATCAATTTTTCGGGACCAAAAAATTTCTGTATCTCTATATAGTAGAAATTCTTTCATGAACGAAATGAAACACAAGCACAATCAATTTCTGACAAGGGGCAATTTCTTTCGACGGTTTGACCAGGTGCTAAGAAGATTTGTACAGGGAAGATCGCATCATTCGCGAGTTAAAGACCTGTAATTTCGGAGTACGGGGATGATCGTTAACATTATAGAGGTCGTTCGTGGAAAGGTATCGCATTAATCACCTCGAATATTTCTAATTAGGATACGAACAACGACTGCTTTACAAGCTGAGGGTAACAAAGGCCTTTGATCTGATGCAACACTGCAAATATTGTATTAACAACGCCAGAATGATAAACTCGGTACACTCAACAATTTATCTATCTATTTCAAATAAAGAAGCACAAACTTTTCCAATGCAAATATTAATTTTAAGTACTACACGTTTTTCTTTTCGAGATATGAAAAATGTTATTCTAACGAATTAATATAAAAAATATTAAAACATTATTTTTGATATTTAAAATTACCGCCAATAATTGCAAAGTTTATTTATTCTAAAAATTATTAAATTCCTAAATTTTCATTCATGAATTGCAAAAATTTTCTTTCAATAATTCTTAAAAAGAAAAAAAAAAAACGAAAGAAGATCACGATCGAAAGGGATAGTTTTACTCTCGAACGAGAATTATTCGCGAATACTTTCTTCGTTCGCGTGAAATGGCGCCAAATGGAGAAAAATCCTCGCCAGATTGAATTCAAAATCAACGGAAGACGTAAGTACACGGCAGCACCATCATCGATACAGTTTACACAACTCGCGTGACCACGTCTTATTATCGGATCCGGTTCTCCGTTAAGTCGAACTCACGAGACTCACGACATCATCATCGTCTCTGGCGCCAGACGGTGCCAGAACGGGATGATGTCTCGTGACGAGGCTGTTTTCAACGAAGAACAAATTCATTCACTGGTTTCTTGTCAATTAAACGGAACTACGAACCGTTCTCTAGGCGAAGATTGCCGGAGAGAAAACAAGAATGTGAATTTATGTTATTGAGGTTAGGTAATTTCCGTGTAATTCATGTACACTCGGTATCATAATTTTCGAGTTCAAGCAACATTAAATTAAACTTAAAAAAGGTTAGAATTAACACTTTCTAAAAGGGTTAAAAGTGTCAGTTTTTAAATTAAAACAAAAATGGCCAGATGTCATTTAAATCGAATTTTCTCGTGCTTTTTCGAAGAAAGCCCCTTTTTTGAGATAGCTTTGTTCAAATTTAAATGAGATTAATGAACACACGAAACTTTGAACCGACTTACAGCGGATGACGAGTTTGCCGATTGTTTTTTTTTCGTAAGATAACACGAAAAAAAATATTGCAACATCTTATGAAATGAAATTCGCAAAATATGGATCAATGGGGATAAAGTGGTAACCTAGTATCCTTCAAAGATACGACGACATTGGGAAGAAAAAAAAATGCGTGCCGCCATCAACGCGAAATAATGTGATTCGAAAACGTATATAAAAAATTTATAAATTCTTTTTGTTTTAATATTTCATTATATATCTTTCTATTCTGTGACATAAAACCTAATTCAAATATTAGGTTTTGTAGATTGCTATCGACAGTGAAGGGTTATGTTTTCTTAGTTTCGCAACTTTATCATTGGAGCGGCGATATTTGTACGAGAATCGATTCCATACGGTCTCGAAAGCATTCGATATATTTGCCTACCATATCGAAGTAATCAATTCGCACGTAGGCAATGGAAGCGTTGGTATGCCGTTATGCATTAATGTTTCGCGATTGCAGATGTGTCTTGTTAATATCTCGATGGAATTATACAAATTAAAAGAAGTAAGAAACACGAAGAATTCTTCGGATTATCGAAAAAAATTCTTTTTACGAAAAAAAAAATATTTAACATTGATTCGGCATTGAGATTACTGAAATACCTTTCGAATATCCAAATTATGCCAACTATTTCGTAATATATGTACATATTTCATAATTCGAAATAGTTCGATAAATATCGGTAACGGTTCGAGGATTTTCTCGGATTCTTTGAGGGAATATTTTTCTCACGGAAAAAAAGGTAATGTTACTCTTTAAACGGTTAATATTGTAACCGCATTGTCATTGAAATTGCAGAAATTGTTTTTTTAACATTGGAAGCATGCAAATTGCTTGGTAATTTGCGGAGAGTTCGATGAGTACACAGAGATTTGCTTCATTTCACGGAAGGAATGTTTTTAGAAAAAAAAAGTTAACATACGTAAGTATAGTATAGCAGTCACTTCACCGAGATCGCTAACATATTTTTCTTGTATCAGAATTGTGCAAGCTGCTCGACAAATTGTGAAACATTCGATAAATTTATCTTTAAAAACTTAATATTCAATTTTCAATTTTAACTCGAAAAAATTGACATTATATTTTGAATAATTTCCAATATTTCTCGAATTTCGTGATTTCCGTTAAAACAATTTTATTTATTTCCACAGGTATAGACAGAGAGCAGACAAGATATTAACATTTACAAGAAACAATAAATTAAGTTGAGTCACTAATTCTTGTCTGCTTATTTCTATATAAAAAAACAACTTTGTTATAATCCAAGAAATTGTCACGCTTCAGCAACGCCAGTGAATAGCTACTGAAATCCATGGTTTTCCCATGGGCTAGCGAAGAACCTTCAATAATATTCAATTGCAACACCCTCTAGATCCGCTTTCTATTTTCGTTCAGCAATTCTTTTGTCAGCTATGCGGAGGGTATGATGTTACAGTGAAAAGCCAAATGAAGTGTAATGCGGCAAGAAAGGAGGTTACATATCCCACGCGACAGTAATATTCGTGGAAAGTTCATTTTACACGACCCAAAGAGCGCACCACTATCCGCGAAGATGACAGTACACGTGGTTTGCGTGTAGCTGAATGGACGTTTTGTGTCTTGTTGCATGTTATATCTGAGGTTTCGCAAAGTGTGGTGTGCATTACATCTTCCACCGTACGTTGATCGTCTTTAAAGGATGCTGTGCCACTTTATCCTGTCTATAAATGACAATTATCAATACTGTTGTGAACGATATATATTTATGGACTTTACTGTAATAAAAAGTAACGTAGATTAAGCTAAGAACGGTGATTCAATTTGATGTAAATTTATGCCGTTTTCGATAAGTGATAATTATATCTGAATACGTCGCTTGTTAAGGATAGTACGTACACTGAAAGAGGAAAGTAAGCTAAGAAATATTAACGTAACTGGACTTTCCCGCTTTCTTGCGGAATTCCTTACGACAGGTTCGTTCAAAATCTGTGAATCTTCTAGTATGATTCAAAATACACGAGACACTGTGTACATTCCCTACGTATTGATGTATTAAAAAATTCGTGTAAATTTAATGGAAGTAATTTTTTTGAAAGAAATGTGTTTCACGGCTTTAGAGAACACCTGGAGAAGATTCCAAGAATATGTTGACACTGATGGTGAACAAGTGGAGACTCTTTGAAGACTTCTGTTTCTCTACAAAAAAAATTTCTTCTGTATACACTCGCATTCATAAGTATCTGCCCACCTATTTGTTCACAGTGTTCTTTATTACAGTAAGCAATTTCATTTAACCAGTTTCCAAGGAGGCACTCAAGGATTTAACTTGTTTTGTAACCATTATTTATAAAAAATATAATTCTCTAGCTCAGAACTCCCGGTATTTTTTTATATGTAGTACCTTTTAAGTTGCTTAGTATCCATGCTTTTATACAGGGTGTTTCAAAGCTACTCGATATTCACATTCTCATGCAAGGTGTTTCAAAACACCTACACATTATAAGCATGCATCAAAATACACTAAAATATACAACGTAAGAAAACGTGAAAAATACGTAAGAAAGAGAAAAGAAAATGTTTCTCCTTCCAAATGGTAAATTTTCAAACCGAAACTTCGCCAAACAAGAGATCGAATCTCATATAGGATAACCTAACCTAATCGAACCAAATATTCCGCAATAAAGCGATCGTCGACGCGACAAATGTTCATCACTAGAACAAGACAAAATCATTAGCGCGTTGCATCATCAACGGTCTTCGCGTAAGCGTTCAATGAATTCGTTTCAAAGACGCTAAATATAACTTATAGCCGCGAGACAATGCATCGGCGTTGTATCTCGGGAACAAGCTATATTTTCGGGTCGGTGGCACTCGCGTTTGAATGGTCAGGAAAGCACGCGTCTCCTTCGCGACGTGAATGGAACGCAAAGTGTGTCCAATTGTACCACGTAGGAAAATTACATCACGTTTCGAGCTAGTCAAATTACAACCATGACGTCTTTTGCGCGTCACGCGTCTTTGAGTTCGGCCGATTTAGAAGTCACTTCCTACTTGTTCTCCATTTTTTTACCGTCATTTCTCGCGATTCCTTTGCGGTCACACCCTCTTGACGTAACGAGAACCTAATCGAATATTTAACCCATTAACTCGGTTCACCTCTCAAATAGAAATTGAATCTCTCTAACCTACAATTAAAATAATTAATTAATTAATTAATTAAAATATTAATAATTAATTATTTGTAATAAAAAAAAATTATTTAATAAATGTTACAACCCCTAACCAATGAAAGATACCATACGAGTGGAAATAAATAAATAAAAATACTTAGAAATCAGAAATATCGATGGGACAGTTAACATGGTTTGGAATAAGAAGCACGAAGAACTTAAG